GACCTTCAAACCCTTTCACTGCCATTGTCAACTTTAACCCTCAATCCTTTCACTACCATTGTCAACTTTAACCCTCAACCCTTTCACCACAGCCCTAATTTATAAATGCATGCTAACATATTCTGCTATATTCTGTAGTGTCTGATTTGCTAAGTGCACTGAAGCAGAAGGGATCAAGTGCTGAAAGACTTCTCAGAAATCTGGAGAGCGCCATCACTGGTGAAATTGAGAAAGCAGCTGAAGAAAGGTATCTTTATGTTCAAAAATTGGTTTGTATCAGTTTATTGCATTTATTTCTCACTTGCATACTTTCATTAACGGATGAAGAGTAAATGTTTAATGATGAAATTATGCATTCACATATTTTTATTATTCACTTTCCTTTAGATTACAGTGTAAATTTAGATAATGTGGTGAAATGTGCAGTATTTTCTATATAAACAACATAATGCAAGTAGATGGAATTAACATGAATTGTCATGTGATTGAAATCTGGTTCTCAACTTTGGATGTTCTTCGTTTCTTTACAGTACAAGTTTTGCAGCCAGTCAGTACTGGTCATTAGCTGTCCTCTTCTGTCAAATACATAAACTACCGTATACTACTGTGTATTTAGAAGACTGTGCAAAGAATGATCAATGGTTGAGGTTTCTGTGTTTTGTTCAAAACCATCACTATCCTCAGAATCAGGTAAGCACTTTCTCTTATTTTATTGAATTTCAATTTATCTTGGCTGTCTCTACAAACATGTTCATAATTACAGTATAAGTGTAGTGATATGTTTTGTACACTCTCAGGTCATCTACAAGCTCTTCAAACTTACTTACAGTACCATTGTCACGTTTAGTAACATGTGGTGGTAGGGCATTTGTTGTATGCGGACCACGTTTGTGGAATGCTCTACCACAATATTATTGCTTTTAAGGTACATTTGAAAACTTATTTGTTTAAGAAAGCATATAATTTGTAATTATTCTTTCTTTGGTATAGTTTGTAGCTTTTTGGTCATGCGCTGTTGATCAGTTATTACTGTGAATAGCGCAATACA